TGCGTTTGTGTGCGTGTGTGTCTGCGCGTATGCATGTGTACATGTATATGTGCGTGTGTGTGTGTGTGTGTGTGTGCTGTCTCCTGTCAGGGGTTAATGGGTTTGAATCTTGATGAACTTGTACGTGGGCGCTGTCCTCGGGTACAGATGTGACATCCATCTTCAACAACCTTGAGATGCTGCTGGCGGTGAATCGAGCGCTCCTGGCTGCGGTTGGTAGCATGACAGCCCCATGCGTGCCTGCGAAAAAGCAACCCTATGTGCGCCTGCAAAAAGGCAGACCCCTCTTCCTCCCTCCGTTTTTGTTACCTGTGTCTGCGACAGCGTTATGGTGATGGCCGTTCTTTCCAACACACAAGTTCCTCATCGCAGCGCCCATCATGATGCCTGCAACAGATGCACAATGATGGCATCGTCCAGGCCTTTCATAGCATGGGTACGTTTGTATTGAAATGAGAAGTGCTACGAGTCGGGTGTCATCCATGCTTGTACACACGAGATGGCCTGTGTTTGGCGTCACTCATGGCATGTCATGCAACTCCCCATCCTGTCTTTCCCTTGCTGTTGGCGTTTGCATCTATCATCAAGCACCGTTCTTGAAGGTGTACTCGCTGTATGCTGAAAGCTTCGAAGGGTCCATGGAGAAGGTGCGCTGTGTGTGCATATGTGTGAACACGAGTGGGAACGAGTGAGTGCAAGGCATTGATTGCCACAACATCAAGCATCCAATGTTCTCTTGGCAAGAGCACGCCACATGCGCAGTATTACTCACGCCGCACTGACATTCACACACTCACACTCGCACGTTACCACCACCACCACCAATGACATACACACTGTCTTGATTGTGTCAGATCAATCAAAATGCAAGGAAGAACAAGCGGTTTCGCCAATTCAAGGACATGCAAACGTCGCTTCCGGAAAGCAAAGTCAGTGCTCTGTCGTCTACGCCGGGCAAGCATGCCGCGTAAAGGCACGGGAGGTGGAGCAGACACACATACACATGCAAACACAAACAACAACAGCAGCAGCAACAACAACAACAGCAGCAGCAACAACAACAACAACGTGCATTGTGGCCTCTTGTTGCATCGCACATGCTCTGTCAGCCCTGTCCGTTGTCTTACACTCGTGGCACCAACATGGCGAAAACCAACGCTGCTGCAGGACCTTGGGTTGGAGGCGCTGATGCTGGCGCCCATTCAGCGACTGCCACGCTACCAGCTGCTCCTCGAGTCACTGCTCACGGCCACGCCGCAGACAGACCCATCCTATCTCATCGTCAAAGGTATCGCCCAGTACACCTGCTTGCACTGCGACCGCTTGCCGGCGCCAGAACGTGCGCATTCTCGGCGTATTCTCAACGCTTGGGACCCACGAAAACTGTTGCTTGCGCCAATGCCTCGTTGCAGATGTGGTTGAGCAAGTGTCACAGGTGAACTGTCACGTCAACACAGCGCTGCGTCGGCAAGACAGCCGTCTCAAGGTGAACAGTCGCACGTGGCTAGCTGTATGTCTCCCTGCTACAAAGTTGCGTGCTGTCTCATGACACCACTTCACGCATTCTGAGGCACGCACGCTCATAATCGTGTTTGTGATGGGTGATTGCATTGCACCTGCGCAGTTGTTGGATCTCCAGCGTCGCCTGCAAGGGCGGATTGCGCGCGAAATCGTCAAGCCAGATCGCGTGGTCGTCCTTGAGGACGTCCTGTCCATTGTCTCGAAGTCATTTCAGGTAAAACAGTGTGGGTTGTGACGAACGTGTAGGCTGACCTGTTGTAGGGCAGCAGAAACGCGGTGAAAGAAGGGACATGGCTGGGGCTAGACAACATAACCAACGCTGCTGCAGGACCTTGGGTTGGAGGCGCTGATGCTGGCGCCCATTCAGCGACTGCCACGCTACCAGCTGCTCCTCGAGTCACTGCTCACGGCCACGCCGCAGACAGACCCATCCTATCTCATCGTCAAAGGTATCGCCCAGTACACCTGCTTGCACTGCGACCGCTTGCCGGCGCCAGAACGTGCGCATTCTCGGCGTATTCTCAACGCTTGGGACCCACGAAAACTGTTGCTTGCGCCAATGCCTCGTTGCAGATGTGGTTGAGCAAGTGTCACAGGTGAACTGTCACGTCAACACAGCGCTGCGTCGGCAAGACAGCCGTCTCAAGGTGAACAGTCGCACGTGGCTAGCTGTATGTCTCCCTGCTACAAAGTTGCGTGCTGTCTCATGACACCACTTCACGCATTCTGAGGCACGCACGCTCATAATCGTGTTTGTGATGGGTGATTGCATTGCACCTGCGCAGTTGTTGGATCTCCAGCGTCGCCTGCAAGGGCGGATTGCGCGCGAAATCGTCAAGCCAGATCGCGTGGTCGTCCTTGAGGACGTCCTGTCCATTGTCTCGAAGTCATTTCAGGTAAAACAGTGTGGGTTGTGACGAACGTGTAGGCTGACCTGTTGTAGGGCAGCAGAAACGCGGTGAAAGAAGGGACATGGCGTGGTTTCACAATGTTAGTAAGCGTTCGCTCACAAGTTTGCGTGCACCTGCGACACAATGTGTTCGTATGTGCTTGTGTGTTTTGTGTGCGACTGTGCGTGGTTGTGCATGATGCTCGTCTGTGTGTGCGTGTGTGCGTGCGTGATGCAGACAAAGCACATCCGCGTCATCCTCCTGTCTGATATGTTGCTGCTTGCAAAGCCCTCAAGACTCACAGGCGGCACCGCCAACAAGTAAGCTGTTCCCTTGTAGATTAAAGTGGAAGAGGGGGAGAAGGCAGGATGTTTAACAATTGGCCACGCTGATATGATGTAATGATTGGCTCATAGTTTCCTGCGATGGGCGGTACCTCACGTTTGCACGATGTTCAGATCGCTGGCTTGCACACACGAGTTTGTGCTTGCCGAGTGCCAGATGGTGGTTGCGAAGCTGCCGCTGAACAGGAAGAGCCGGGAGCGAAACCGCCTGTGCTTTCAGGTACGTGTTTGTGCGCGTGCACGTGCGTGTGTGTGTGTGTGTGTGCGTTAACCCAAGTGAACATAATTGCGCAAGTGCTCAGGTGGGCATCGCTCTGGCGTGAAATACAATAAAGTAAACGATGACACTCATTTGTCTGGATCGCGGTGTTCTGTTTGCACTCATATCCAGGTCTCGAATGGCACGACGCGAGCGGTCCTAACAGGAGGTGACAACATCGTGGCTGACCGCTGGATCAAACTGCTTCAAGAACATATCGAGTGAGTTAATGACGAGGAGGCGAGCCGGTCAGCTGCAACTCATTTGTCTTCTGTTGCTGCTGTGCGCTGACATGACGTAGTGATTCTTATGGCTGCACTCACATCTTGTTCTCGCGTGTTTTCGTTGAGCAGGACCCAGCGACACAACAGACAGTCTTTCAACGTGGAATCAGATGGCACAGCTGTCATTGAACGTATCTCTCGCGCTCAGTCAAGGCACGTCACAACGCCATCCTTTGGAGCATACGTGTTCTTGTGTGTGTGTGTGTGTGTGTGTGTGTTTACGTGTGTAATGTCGGATGCAGCGCCATCTGTACGATTGGTGCCTGAATTGTCCACCTCTCCTCTGACGCACGCACACACACGCACGCGCGCGATTGACTAACTGAACCGTATCCACAACATCGCCATCACCGACAACTTTTTCCTCCCCTCCTCCCTCCCCCCCCCCAAACGCTCACCTACCTCACGCAGGCGATCGTCGTTGGCCGCAGAAAGACGGAGGAGCAGTTCACGCGCCGGGAACACGAGCAGCGGATCTGAGAGGGAACACACCAGCACCACCACCTCCCCCCAGCCGCTGCAGCCGCCGCAGACGCCATTCACTATCGCCTTTGACAACTGTAACCGCCGGAGCGTTCGCAAGCGAGCGATGCGCTTCCCCAGCTGGTACCAGGGAAAGGGTGGTGGTGGTGGTGGTGACGGTGACGGTGACGATGAGTACGATTTGGATGTGCGTGATCTGTACTGGCCCGAGTTTCAAGGGCCGTACGCTGACGGAAGGCAGTCGTCAGCCACAACACCGAGCACAGACGCGAGTGGAGGTTTCTCGCCGACTGGGCCAGCACACACGGGAGCTGTTAGCCCCGTTGCGTTCGGCAGAGGCCATGTATGTGACGCTGCATTGGAGTGCACGCAAACCACGGCCTCTCCCATTCACACATCGGCCACAGACACGACTGGCAGCGCGTACAGCACCGGCAACACACCAGCCAATGAAGCAGCTGCGCCAATGGCGCCCGCTGGGAGTGATCACTGCAGGCAAACGAACTCACAGCAACAACCCGAACAAGGAAGCATGGCCCTTGGGAAGCATGGACAAGGATACGAGACAGGGCAGCAGCAGCCACAGCAACATCAACAACGGCAGCAACAACAGCAGCCAGCATGTGCGTGGACCAGGTCCTCCACGACACTCATTCGCACGACATCTGGTGGTGCAGCGCAGAGGGTGTCGGCAGTACGATTTCGTCGTCGCTCGCACAGCCGCGTGTCGCGATTGTGTGGCAACCGTCCCCAGTCGCTGTATACACGAAACGTGCCGTGTGCCCTTTCTTCGCGGCAGCCGCCTGCAGGGAGCGCGTCACCCACGTCTCCACGACAGGCGCAGGTGGACACCAGCGGCAGCTTCACCTGGGACAACATGGGCATGTCGAGCGTGAGCCAACACCAACAAGGGCCGACGTGTTCCTACGATGAAGCTGTGCAGCGCAGCCGCGGGGTGCTGTCGGCGTTTGAAGAATGGCAGCTGAAGCGGCGGGAGCTGGAGATGCGACGCAGCAGCCGCGTGTCTGTCACCAAGACGATGAATCGCTCACGAACGTTGCCCACTGGCTTTGCAGCACGCGCACGCGCCCTTGTCAAACAACAACAACAACAACAACAACAACAACAACAACAACAACAACAACAACAACAACAACAACAACAACAACAACAACAACAACAACAACAACAACAAGGCGAGGAGAGAATCGAGGCAGCCACCGCGGTGGACAGTGCGCAAGAGAATGACTTGAACTGCGAGTTACCCAGTGCGCAGGAAGCGTCAGCAGACATGGCCTCCACTGCGCAGTCCAGCATCGAAGATGATGGCGATGGTGATGGTGTCTCGAGGGTCGTGGGAAGTGATGACAGTCCGATGCATGCAAGCGCAAGCGCGCACGACGACCACGATGGTGATGATGAAGATGATGTCCCCTGTCGCCTGAGCGGTGATGGGGAATTCAGAGAGGTGGCTGTCGAGGGTGAGGAGAAGGGGGATGCTGCTGAGGCAGGCGGAGGGGTGGAAGCGGAGTACGACAAGCTGCTCAGCGGATATGGCCGTATCCTCGACGTGTATGCAGAACTGATTGCTCGGCGACAGCGGCAAGAGGAAGCGGGTGCGCAGCTGAAGCAAGAGTCGGGACCACAGCGAAATGTTGAGGGACAAGGAGAGTCCGGTGGACAGGAGCAGCATGAGGAAAAGAAGCTGGAAGCAAACATGGAGCGAGCTAGTGCCAGCGTTCCTGTGCATGCCACAACTACGGCCACTAACTCGTCCAGAGGAGGGGAGCGTGCAGGCCGCCCCCGCCACCAGAGATGTACGCTCATGTAATGTATGTGACACGAACGACTCATTGACTTGAACTGAATGCGCACACCAAAGCAGTCGCTCACGACATGTACACAAACAAGAAGTAAACGGCAGACATGCAGATAGAGATGCAACAGACGAATTGGGGGGGGGGGGGGTTCGGAAATTCTGTGGGCAGTGACAAAAACACAAACTTTGTTTTGTTGTTTGCTGGCAAAAAACAGGACAGCAACAAACAAAGATGAGCAGGTTCGCTGTGTTGTTTGTGGTTGTGATGGTGGCTGTGAGCAGCGTGCTCTCTTGTGTGGAGGGAGGAGAGGGTAAGGAAGGTGCAGGGAGTGCTGTCGCTGTAGATGCCGATGCTGCAGCTGCTGTAGACGCAGCGTCATCTCTTGAAGCACTCATCTCCAAGTTCGAGGGACTTCCAGCAGACCAAGGCATTTCATTTCACTCCCTCAAACGTTGGACATGTGTGTGTGTGTGTGTTGTGTGTTGTGTGTGTGTGTGTTGTGTGTGTGTTGTGTGTGTGTGTTGTGTGTGTGTGTGTGTGTTGTGTTGTGTGTGTGTGTGTTTGGAAGCGCTTACACCAAGGCGTCTAGACTTTGGACAAGGCCTCACTCCTCACCTTCTCTATCGTTCCACGCACAACAACAGCAGCTGCAGTGTCCACTGACAGTGAAGGCCTCTCGGAACCAATCGAGGTGTGATTCAACCGTCGAGCGTGTGTGTGTATGTGCATGTGTATGTATGTGTTGTGTTGCTGCTGTTGCTGCTACCACTACTTGTTCCTACGTCTGGCACTGCTGACGACACCCACCTGTTGGGCGCATGTGTAGGTGACAGAGCAGGATTGGGAGGAATCCAATCCAATCAGGATAAAGGCGCGCGTGATTCGCGGCCCCGCTTGGAAGTGGGGCGACGCTGATGGCGGTGCCGGTAGTCTAGGCACAGTTCTTGGACCCGCCCGTGCCACCAACTGGTGGCGTGTGAAGTGGGACAAGTGAGTACGGTCGGAGGAGGGAGAGATGGAGAGATGTAGAAGAAGAGGGCGGACAATGTGCGTGTGTGTGTATGTGTGTGTGTGTACGTGTGTGTGTATGTGTGTATGTGTGTATGTGTGTACGTGTGTGCGTGTGTGTGTGTGTGACCTTGTGTGTGTGTGACCTTGTACGTGTGTGCTTGTGCGCGGGATGAGACCCTTTGCGCTCGTGTGTCCGTGTGTCCATTCGTCGACCATTCATCCACATACTCACCAACAGCATCACTGATACCTTGCTTCACGTATCATGCCCTGCCTTGGCCCTGTCGTCAGCGGCCATGAGAACGCATATCGGTACGGAAACGGCGTGCACGACCTAATCGTGCTCAAGTACACAACCATGGACGGCGTCACCATCTTCGGCACGCCCTCGCGCGTCAAATGGACGCCCAATCCGTCCAAGCCCTTTGCCGAGCAGGTTCGACGGACGATCGAACTGCGGGCTGTTGTTTGTGGTGGTGACTGTGAACAAAGTCGAAGAGGCTGCAATAACATTGGTGATGATGATGTGGAAGCTGTGGTTGCTGGCGTTGTAGTATTGTTGTGCTCGTTATCGTACTCATTGCTCAAGCTCTCGTGTACTGGCCACCGCACCTGTCCTGTGGTGTGTGCATGCGTGCATGTGTGTGTATGTGTGTGTGTGTGTGTGTGTGTGTGTGTGTGTGTGTGCCACCACGTGCCACGGCATCGTCATCACAGGTGGCGAAACTCGATGAGCCCTTGATTCTCCTGAACACCAGCGCATCTCTCTGGCCGGCAATGCACGAATGGACACCGCAGAAGTTTGCAGACGCACACGGCGACATGGTGCTCTCTCGCGTCAAGGTCACGCCCAGGCGCAAGAAAGGTGCTTGTGGTTGGTGTGCGTGTGTCTCTGTGTCTCTGTGTATGTGTGTGTATGTGGATGTGCGTGTGCGTGGATGTGTTGTGTGCGTGCTGGGTATGTTTGGTCCTTGCGCATGCTGGTGTTCCCCATCTCTTTGCCATCTGGTCGTGGACAGTAGTGCGTTGATGTCCGCCTCCCTCCCATCATCGTGTCGAGCTCACACCTTGCAATGTTCCAACACCGCCACGCAAATACGATACGGCGACATTAGGCAGCACGCCCTTTTTCTATTACCACAATGCGCCCATGAACTCCTCCGACGCAGACGTCGCTGCATACAAGCGGCGTGCATACACCGTCACAAACATGACACTCCGTGAGCTGATCCACAACATCTCCGCACCGCACCAACCAGGGTTTGTTGAGAACCACGCGTACGTATGGCGACAATCATGTTTGGGATGCTGTGTTGTTTAGGTTCTTATTGGTTGTTGTTGTTGTTTAAGTTGTTGAAGTTGTTGTTGTTGTTTAAGTTATTGTTGTTGTTGTTGCATGGCCGATGATCAAGGGCTCTTGTTTGGGCCTCGTCAAGCTTGCATATGATGCGTTGAGTTGCTACGGTTTTCCGAGCTCATGCACCACGCACATTCGTACTCCCATCTACATTCGTGCGTCACACCATACCACAACGTCAGCCAACCCACGGCCGTGTACGCTGGGAAGTTGGATGACTTTGGCGTCGATTTCCTCTCTCAAGTGCTTCCATTGGATCCATTCATGGTGATTCAGCCAGGTGCGTATGCGCATATATGCGCTTGTGTGCGCGCGCGTCCGTGCGTGCGTGTGTAAGTGCGTGCGTGTGTGTCTGTGCGTGAATGTGCTGCAACCTCGTGAATGTTACGTGAGTGGTTTTGCGTATGCTCAAAGCACGCCCCGACATCACTGTCTCTGTCACCTTTGCGTCACTGCAACTCATGCGTGTCCCCTCATTGTTGTTGTGTGTTGCGTTAACAAAGGGTTTGAACCGGAAAAGGAGCACCTGTTTCGACAAACACACATTTGGATCGGGGGTGAGATGCAACGTTGTCTGTTGCGTGACCGACAAATACGCTTTAATCAAAGCATGCTCGTTTTGCGCACACAGGCATGGTACACACACACATCATCATCGCACATGCTACTACATACAAACACACACGCATCACACGCACGCACGCACGCACTCACGCACACACTCTCTCTCACTCACGCACACACACACTCTCACTCACGCACACACACTCTCACTCACGCACACACACTCTCTCTCTCTCACGCACTTACACATACACTCACGTACGCACACACACACACACACATTCGCGCGCGCACACCTGCATGAGTGCAGGCGAGCAAACGTCGACTCCTGCGCATTTTGATTTGTTTCACAACTTCTACGTGCAAATCTATGGGCGAAAGCGAGTGCTTCTGTTTCCGCCGGCGCAGTGGCAGCAGCTGTACATCTTCCCCCTTCTCCATCCCGCGGGGCGAAGCGTGCAGGTGAGTGCCAGTGTGCGTGTGTGTTTGTGTGTTTGTGTGTTTGTGTGTTTGTGTGTGTGTGTGTGTGTGCATGCGTGTGTGTATGTGTGTGTGCGTATGAATGTGTGTACATGCGTATGAATGTGTGTGGGTGTGCGTGTGTGGCATGCCTATGTATCGTGTTTCCTGTTCGTCTCATCCTTCACCTTTCTCCCTCGGTACGCCGTTGCTCCTTCACCGACAACGACGATGGCTCTCATTCGCCGGTACAGGTTGATCTTGACTCGCCCCTGTTCCAGCAGGAGCACGCGTTTCCAAATTACCAAAAGCAACACACACTTGCACTTGAGGCTGTGCTTGAACCAGGCCAGGGTGCGTCGTGGATAAACGCGTGTGCACGTGCTTTGCGCCGTGACTGCTTTGGTGCACATGCATGCCCAGAGCTTGCATTCACCTTTGCAGTATGTGTATATGTGTGTTGGCATGTGTGTGAGAATCTTTTCGCTCACTGCTGACTTTTGTCTTTGGACATTACCACCCCCCCCCCCCAAACTGCCCCGCCACACCAGTGCTGTACATTCCTCCCCTGTGGTTCCACCACATCACGTCGCTGGAGCCTTCCATCTCTCTCAGCGTATGGACCCCGCACATCGCTATCGAAATTGCAGCAAAGGTGCTGGCAGTGGGTGGCGGTGACTGGTGATGACGGTGATGATGATGGTTGTGGTGATTACGATCAATGAGGGAGGTGCACGTGGACTGTGTTGTGTTTGTTCGTGCGGAATGCACACGCGTGCTCACGCGGTGACCCACCTGCCCACGTTGTGCGTGTCTACTCGTTTGTCGCACTTTCCCTTCCTTCTTCAAGGCGTCAGAGGCCGTCCCCCTTCCCATTCTCGTGAAATGGAGCGACAAAGAGAAGCACATGGCCCTGCGCATTTTCTTCGAGAGCATCGTGGAGGTCTGTCCGGCACCGGTTGCACTGGGGGGGGGGGAGGGTTTGTGGAGGTCAAAGCGCATGTATTGCGATGTTGTGGTGTGCTGCGTGTTGCGTGTTGTTGTTGTTGTTGTTATTGTTGTTGTTGTTATTGTTGTTGTTGTTGTTGTTGTTGTTGTTGTTGTTGTTGTTGTTGTTGTTGTTGTTGTTGTTGTTGTTGTTGTTGTTGTTGTTGTTGTTGTTGTTGTTGTTGTTGTTGTTGTTG